TAAATGGGGAACATTCCCTTGTTTTTAAAGAGGTTCAAAAATAATTAAATAATTTTTTTGTGAATGGCCACCATTTTCCAATATGGCGGTCATTTTTGAAATTTCTTACGGAACACCCTATATTTTATCATGTTTTCGGATAGAACATACAATTTAAAAACCTTTTTACTCTAGACATTTTTTCGATAAACCCACTCGTTTAGGAGTTTCAGCCTATGGAAAAATGACATCCGGTGTACATTTTACATCATGTAGCTCCTAAACAAGTAGGTTTATAGCGAAAATGCGAAGAGTAAATAAGTCAAATAAAATAAGGATGTTCCATAAGAAATGTCAAAGTTGACCACCATATTGGAAAATGGCGGCCATTTACAAAAATTGTATTTAATTATTTTTGAGCCTCTTTAAGAAAAAGGGAATGTTCCCCATTTAAATATTGCTGTAAAAGCATTAGTTACTGAGATGTGTGTGTGTGTGTGTGTGTGTGTGACTTTTTTTAATATGTAATGCGGATAAACTTAAATGAGTTCGTGAACCAGCATGATCGAACGATAGGAACGGTGTTTTACAGGGGGTTGTATGGGGCAAAAATTGGGTTTTTCATTTTTGACCATCAAAACACAAAATTTCCCAATTTCTCTCTAGACTATTTTAAAGAGCTTAAAAAGACAAATTATTTAGTATATTGAAGTGTTTTTGTGCGGTTAGGCCCTGGTTACGGAGAAAATTAAATTTAAGATCCCCATGATATTTTTATGGAGAATATTGTAAAATGTTGTAGTTTGCTTGTTTATGGATACATTCTGATCAAACTTGGCAAATTTATTTATTTTATACTAAGCTATTAATATTTTACAAAAAAATGCACGTTATTAGCCTCCCTGTTGCAGCAAACCTGGGTACTCGTTTAACCTAACGCTATTTAAATAGATTTAATTGTATATCAATTCAGGCAATGGAAATTCGCTTAGTCTGCAGGTTTGCTGCGGCGGGTATTTAAATTATTAATCATTCTAAAATCCCACTTATTGAGTTACAAAACATACATACAGTTAACTCTGCAGTTAGACATCGTTGATTTAAGTATGGGTGCCTACTTCAGGAATATATGTTGTTGACTTTTAAGGGTAATTCTTTCTTAGTCAGTTTGAAAGGACTACGGACTATTACGTAGCATGACAGTTTGGCCGAAGTCAGCCAACTTCGCTTTGATAGTGTAGGTGCCCAAGTGAGCTACACCCTACAACCAATCTTGGACCAATGCTTAGGTTTCTCATCAACATGATAATAGAGTTCTTTTTAGCATGGGTTTAGGTAACTAACCTAAAGGGTTTAGGAAAATTTGAATGCATACAACAGAGCGTTCTACGTCCCTTGGTAAAGAACCGAATCAAAAATGATATAAACCGTTACCTGACTGTGACAAAATCTATACAACGTAACACAGTAGTCAAAAATAAAAATAAAATATTTTTTTATTAATTCTAGTTTTAAATTTTATCCTGAATCCATAGATACCAAATATGTTATATAATAAAATTTATCTGATAGATTTTTTGTCATTTATTATAAATCTTGCACAGCTGTTTCAGTGATCGCATGACAGTGACTAAGGCTTTATATGCGATTTACCAAAAATTTACTTTTTTCTTCGTCCGGTACATTTTTTGACACATTTTATGAACCGATTTTAATGAAATTTTTACAGACCTTCTGTGTATATTAACAAATAATAATAGGAAGTGATATTACAAAATTATTTATACAACCCGAGTTTTAATAATTTTTTAATTAAAAAATGCGATAAAATATTTATGTTTAAAAAAAATCATAAAACAATTATTTTTTACTTTAGAACAAAAGTGGTTCCTATTATCGTTGAGAAAGGTGTGTAAGACAATGTATAAAAATTTCAGGTTGCTAGGATGCTTTTTAAAGAAGTTAAGTGTACCTAAAAATGGTGAAATTAACATGGACGGTGTTGGAATTCACTTCAATATTAGGTTGAATTCTATTTAAGTTGGTAAAAGCTTTAAAAACGTTAAAACAGAGAGCTATTACTTTCAACACCTTTATTTACAATTGAACTCACAACAATAAGCATTTAAATCATAATTGAATCTTAGCAATGAAATATAAAGTACAAAGAATAAAATATATAACAGCTGTTAGCTGATTCAAACTATATCACTTGCTGTATATAATACCATTGACTATATAACTGACAACTTCTAACATCCTCCCACCAAGTTCATGGAACATTTAATAAGTGAAATGAACTTCTCTATGGGTTGAATTGAACAACTTTTCATGATATTAAAAAGAGAAGTTATTGCTGTATATAATACCATTGACTATATAACTGACAACTTCTAACATCCTCCCACCAATTTCATGGAACATTTAATAAGTGAAATGAACTTATCTATGGGTTGAATTGGACAACTTTTCATGATATTAAAAAGAGAAGTTATTAAGTTGCATTGTTTTTTCCAAGTAATGATCTCAAGTATAATTTGTATATCTCTTCGGAACACATATAAGTCTTCCTCGTCTGGTTTCTTTCGTGATTGACACAGGTTCTTAAAAGCTCTTAAAAGTTCTTTGCTGTCTTCAAATGGAATCAAAGTCTTGAGTTTTTCATCTGTCAAATTTGATTGAACAATCTATATAAATTTTTCTTCTGCCAATATGTATTCTTCTAAATTTAAGTCACAGTTTTTGATAGTCTTGTTCTTCATTAGAGTATTGTTTTTGAACCGATAAATCCATCCTATTGTTCTAACAGCTTTCTTGTATGTTGAACAATTCATGTGCAACCACTCATTGTCTGTGACATTGTTAACTGCAGAAATAACAGTTCTTTTCTTTTCGCTGTTAATATCATCCTCATTGTATTGAGTTTCTTCTTGACGAGGCCAATTTTCTGGAGATCCTGTAATCCAACTTGGGCCCTCCCACCATCTTGACTCAAGTAGTTTCTGAAATAAATATTGCTGATTTATATTCTACAATCTTGTTCTATGTGCTACTGTAATATTATATACAATTTTGCAAATCATGATGTTAATTTTTATGATCTATTTTCATTATGAATTAATGGTATTCTTTATTCTTTGTTGATTTTTTACTATCTTGAAGTATATAGCACTTGTCATGTTCATACTTGTGTAAAGATTGCTCAAACATTCTTGTGCCTTTGATTACTTAAATTTTCTCTTGGTATTCAATTTCTGAGGGGGAAAATGGATGCAGAAAATTTTAAAGATATGGTTCAAACATATTGGTCCTTCGAGCCGGATTAACTTAGTCATTTTTTATAAATTATATTTTAATTGACAAAAAATGACTAAGTTAATCCGGCTCGAAGGACCAATATGTTTGAACAAAGGGGAATTAAAAATTAAATTCCTGACTTTGCTACCAAACTGAATAATTGCTGGTTCAATAGATATTTGTTAATATAGTAGAAAGCAAGTATATTGATCTGTCTAAGCAGTGAGTTACTATTGGAAAAATAATAAATCCATTTGAGTTAAGAAAATATTATAATGATACAAAATTAAATTAACCCTTTACTATAAAAATATTAAAATCAGAACTATTCTCTTTATGAGATATTTAAGTCCAAATTGAAATAGACAGAGAGGAATGATGTGTAGAGATGTACTCACGACCTCGCAGAGAAGAAATTAATGAATGTTCGTTAATACCAAGTAATGGAGATTAACACTTCTTGAGAAAATAAAATATAACACTGTGTGCACACAAACTTCTGGTGAATGTTCCTCACGGTTAAATAAAACTTCTGTAGAAACAATAGAGTCAATAATTGATGATTTAATATGGGATACTGAGACCCATAGTCAAACATTATGAGGGTCTCTGAATCCCTCTAAATATTTTACTATGGGTCTCAGTATCCCATATTAAATCATCAATTATTGACTATATTGTTTCTACAGAAGTTTTATTTAACCGTGAGGAACATTCACCAGAAGTTTGTGTGCACACAGTGTTATATTTTATTTTCTCAAGAAGTGTTAATCTCCATTACTTGGTATTAACGAACATTCATTAATTTCTTCTCTGCGAGGTCGTGAGTACATCTCTACACATCATTCCTCTCTGTCTATTTCAATTTGGACTTAAATATCTCATAAAGAGAATAGTTCTGATTTTAATATTTTTATTGTAAAGGGTTAGTTTAATTTTGTATCATTATAATATTTTCTTAACTCAAATGGATTTATTATTTTTCCAATAGTAACTCACTGCTTAGACTGATCAATAAACTTGCTTTCTACTATATTAACAAATATCTATTGAACCAGCAATTATTCAGTTTGGTAGCAAAGTCAGGAATTTAATTTTTAATTCCCCTTTGTTCAAACATATTGGTCCTTCGAGCCGGATTAACTTAGTCATTTTTTGTCAATTAAAATATAATTTATAAAAAAAACATATTGAAGGTCATTTTTTAAATTGTCAAAGTAAGGTTAATTGTATTTGAAGGTTATTGTAGATTACAGTTGAAAATTTGTTTGTTTTAAGATAGTTATCATATAAAATATTTGGTATTCATTTTGTCTTAGATTAAATTAGATATTTAAACGTAAAACGCTCATACATTTCTCCAGTATTGGTTTTGTGATTTATTAATATTTTTAAGAGTTATTAGGGTTGTTTAGAGAATTTAATCTGAAAATATATTCTTCTGGTGAATAGTTTCTTAACACAAATAAATATTGCTGATTTATATTCTACAATCTTGTTCTATGTGCTACTGTAATATTATATACAATTTTGCAAATCATGATGTTAATTTTTATGATCTATTTTCATTATGAATTAATGGTATTCTTTATTCTTTGTTGATTTTTTACTATCTTGAAGTATATAGCACTTGTCATGTTCATACTTGTGTAAAGATTGCTCAAACATTCTTGTGCCTTTGATTACTTAAATTTTCTCTTGGTATTCAATTTCTGAGGGGGAAAATGGATGCAGAAAATTTTAAGCGCAAGGTTTCTGCCTTGAAAAGAAAATTATCAGATAGTGCTAAGGAAGTCCAAACTATTAATGAGAAGGGTAGGGCAGCTCTCAAAGATCCTGCTCAAGTGAACTTATTCAAGGGTATGTTTAAGGTGTTAGAGAAATATTTTTCCAAATTTGAAACTCTTTGGGATGAACTTATTGACCTACATGAAGATGAAGGAAAAGTCTCAGAATTTCCTGTCGAAGCAGATCTGACAATGCAAACTAAGGCCAAACGTTATTACTACGAGGCACACACAAGCTATGAGGCACTTATGGCTCTTGTTCAGACAACATCACCTCCCTCACGCCAAAGCATTAATCCTAATGAATCAGTTATATCATCTGAAAACAGATCAAATAAAATTTTACCTCGGATCAATCTGCCCCACTTCAACGGACAAATTACAAACTGGCCTAAATTCCGTGATGCATTCATATCAATTATTCATAATGATGCTTTGTTGACTAAAATGGAGAAATTCCATTACCTGGTTTCCTCACTTGTAGGCACAGCTTCTGCAGTTATAAGTAACTTGCCATTAATAGAAGACAATTATGACTTGGCATGGAAGGCATTGAATGACACGTTTAATAATAAACGTATGCTAGCCTCTAACTATTTGAATCAGCTCATCCAGTTTAAGCCACAGCAAGGCAAGCCTACCATTGATTCTCTACAGAACTTTGTATCACAAGTTTCAGACAATATTGCATTATTTAAACTGCTAAAAATTCCAAATGAAGCAGATTTTGTATTGTTTCATATTGCTGTTCGATTATTAGATTCTGCGACCAGAGAACAGTTTGAACTTCAACACAAAGATAAAGATTTTCCTGTCTTTGATGATCTTACAAAGTTTCTACGGGAACGATGCCTAGCATTACAGCTCACCCTTGGAAATTCTCATCAATCCTCACATGACAATAACGCTGCGAAGCCTAGTGGCGCTATTAAAGGATATAATACTAGATCTTCTAGCCGTGGTATGCGAGCTACACTCTTGGCTAACTCACCAGGAAATAACATGCAATCGAAAGATAACAATAAAGGTTCCACATGCTTTGTATGCAACAGTGGTAGTCATACACTCTGGAGATGTAAAGATTTTATGAATGCAACAGTTGATGAGCGACACAAGATGTTAAAAAATTGGCATGGATGTAAAAATTGCTTGTATGCCAACCACACTATAGGAAAGTGTAACTCAAAGTGGACTTGTAAATTTTGCAAGAAGAGACACCACTCGTTACTACATATTCCAACCTCAGCTGATGAAGAACCGAAAGATAATGCTACTAGTGTACCAACTTCGTCTTTGACTGCAACTCTTCCTCAACATAGCAACATATTGCTGGGTACTGTTGTTGCTGAGATGAAAGATGATTCAGGAAGATTTCAACCCATACGTCTAGTGATAGACTCAGGAAGTCAACATTCCTTCATAACTCACAAATGCCTCACCAAACTTGGTTTATCGACAACTCCATATCCAAAGAAGATATCGGCTATTGGCCAGACCATATTTGATGGTGCAAAAGGCAAGGCACTTTGTCATCTGAAGCCAAAAAATCAGGAAACCCCTATCCTCAAAACAGAAGCTGTTGTGATCAACAATATTACTTCATACCTACCCAACTTCACTATGCCTTCTAACTTATGGTCGGAATATACCAAATTTGAACTAGCAGACCCTAAGTTTTGGGAACCTGGACCTATTGAGTTTTTATTGGGCTCTGACTTGTTTCCAGATGTTTGGCTTGGATCTTCGATTACTCTTCATGAAAACCAACCCAAGCTGTTTGCATCAGTCTTTGGCTACATTGCTATTGGGAGAGTTCTTGACTGTCAATCATCCACTAATATGAATGCTTCTTTCTTCACCCTTGCTTATGATAAAGATGATATTCATAATCAGCTGCAACGATTTTGGGAACTCGAGGAACCTGCTTCTATCCCAGTCCAAGAAAACCCAGAAGATTTAGCTTGTGAAAAGCATTTTACGGAGACTCACTACAGACTTGAGAGCGGCCAGTACGTTGTTCGCCTACCGTTTAAAAGTGAGCCAAAGCATCTTGGTGACTCTGAAAGAAATTCTCTGAAAAGATTATACAGCTTAGAAACAAAACTGACAAAGAATCCTCTACTAAGGTCTGAATACTGCAATTTCATGAATGAATACCTTGAACTGGAACACATGAGCCCCACATCATCTACTTCAAAATATGTGATCCCGCACCATTCCGTTACTAAAGAAGATCGCTCACAGATTAAGCTCAGAGTAGTATTTGATGCTTCTTCCCTTACTGACTCTAACACGTCTCTAAACAACCATCTTATGATAGGCCCAAAGTTACAGCAAGATATCAAAGGTATCTTGACCAGATTTAGGATGTATCCAGTAGTTTTTGTGGCTGATATAATAAAAATGTACAGGCAGATTTTAGTTCATCCCTCTGATATTGTATATCAACACATTTTCTGGAGATTTGATCCTTCTGAAGCTATTCAGAAATATGAACTGAATACAGTAACGTATGGTACTACCTCTGCACCTTTTTTAGCTTTGAGAGTCATGAAACAGCTAGCAACCGATGAAGTGACTGACTATCCACATGCAGCAAAGGCTATTCTTCAAGACATGTATGTCGACGATCTTGTCACTGGTGCTTCTACTGTTGATGAAGCCTTGAAACTCAAGGATGAAGTAATCAATCTTTTACACAAAGGTCATTTTGGTCTAAGTAAATGGGCCAGTAACTCTCAGGAAATTTTAAATGCAATCAATCCTTCAAAACATATCAAACAGATCAACCTCTCATCTAGTGAAGATTCAAATGTCAAGATCCTAGGACTTCAATGGAACCCTTCAAGCGACACGTTTGCATACCAGATTGAACAATTTACCCCTGTGTTTACTAAAAGGGCCATCCTATCAGCTGTGGCAAAGATTTTTGATCCTCTAGGATTCGTTTCTCCTGTGATAATGATTGCAAAGTGCATAATACAAAGCCTATGGAAATTGAAGCTGGGCTGGGATTCGGAAATCCCAACTAACTTGAAGACTCTATGGAATGATTTGACTACTCAGCTAGAGAAACTGCAACATCTTAGTATTCCAAGATTTGTAACATCTGACAAACCATACAAATTGCAAATAGTAGGATTTGCTGATGCTTCAGAAAAAGGATATTGTGCTGCACTGTATCTGAGAGTTATTAGTGACAAAATAACTACAAACCTTCTAACAGCCAAAACTAAGTTAGCCCCAATCAAGACACTGTCGCTTAGAGTTGTGTGGAGCCTACCTGCTTGCAACAATGTTCCACTCTGTTATGGAAACCCTCAGCCAATTTGCCAGTAATCAGTTTCAGAAGCCTATTTTCTTCACTGATTCTTCAATTGTCTTAGGATGGCTGAATACACCAACTTACAAGCTTAAAGTTTTTGTAGCAAACAGGGTTGCACATATCTTGGAACATACCCCTGTTTCATCGTGGAGACATATTAAATCAGAGGAAAATCCAAGTGACCATGGTTCTAGAGGACTTTTACCAGATAAACTAACTAACTGTGATCTATGGTGGCATGGCCCTAAGTGGATGAATATGCCTGAAGATGAATGGCCAGAGTCTACAGTCCAGTTCCAGCAGCAGTCCCTACCTAAAGTGAAAGCTGAACCACAAGTGCTTGTCTCAAATAGTACTGAGCCAGAGCTTATCAAGATGATGGAAAACTATTCTTCATACTACAAACTTTTACATGTAATATCTTGGATCAGAAGATTTATCTACAATTGTCAAGCTAAACTGCACAGTACTAGTCGTCTTAAAGGACCCCTTCAGCCTAAGGAAATTCAAGAGTCCTTACTATCCTGCATCAAGAAAATTCAATCGCACTTTTTCTCTATTGATGGCGACAGAAGATGTGCAACTGCTGTCCTCAATAAGTTTCATAAACTTACCCCTTTCTTTGACAAACTGGGGATACTCAGGGTGGGCGGCAGGCTAAATAATGCAGCTATCTCAGAAGATCAAAGGCACCCAATCCTTCTGCCAAAGTGTCATTTCACCTTATTGTTGGTAGATTATTACCATAAAATCTACCTACACCCAGGACCCAACTTGCTTCAAGCTCTGATTCAATTACGATTTTGGATACCATCATTGAGAAATATTGTCCGTCAGCGAACCTTCATATGTCTAAGGTGCTTCAAGCTAAAGGCTGAAACCTTTTCCCCGATGATGGCTGATCTTCCTTCGCCACGAGTGAATGTAAGCCGAGCATTTTTACATGTTGGTGTTGACTTTGCTGAACCTTTGACTATGAGAGAGTCGTTAAGAAGAAAAGCAACCACTGCCAAGACTTACATCTGTGTTTTTGTCTGCATGGCCACTAAAGCTTTGCATTTAGAGCTGGTAACCGCACTCTCAACAGATGCCTTTATGGCTGCTTTCAGACGTTTTATTTCTAGAAGAGGTCTTCCTGAACAAGTGTATTCCGACTGTGGAACCAACTTCAGAGGAGCAGCTAATCGTCTTCGAGAGTTGGGATTATGGTACTCCAATCAGACTACACAAGAAGAAATTCTACAGCAAACGACTAAACTGGATGTAAAATGGAATTTCAATCCTCCCTACTCCCCACACTTTGGTGGACTGTGGGAGTCCGCAGTTAAATCAACAAAGACACATTTGAGGAAAATAGCTGGAGAAACTGCTTTGACTTATGAAGAGTGGTCAACCTTGCTCACCCAAGTAGAAGCAGTTCTGAATTCAAGACCACTCTGTCCTTTGTCAGCTAGTCCAGAAGAAACTAATTTTCTTTCTCCAGGACACTTTCTTGTTGGATGTCCTCTTGTTGCTCCTCCCGAACCTTCTCTTCTTGATCTTCGAGAAAACGTCCTTACAAGATGGCAACTAGTCCACAAGATGGTTCAACATTTTTGGAAGAGGTGGCGAGTGGAATACTTGAACATCCTGCAAGCGAGAGGAAAATGGACAAGATCTTCTACAAACCCTAAAATCGGAGACTTGGTTCTTCTTAAGGATCAAAATGTACCTGTCTTGCAGTGGCCTCTTGGAAGAATCATCAAGACTCACCCAGGCAGTGATGGAATCGTTCGAGTGATGACTGTCAAGACCAGTGACTCTGAATTCCAACGTCCAGCTGTGAAATTGGTACCTCTTCTTTCAATCAATTCTGACCCTTTTAAGTAAGATGCTAGAAATTTCCTTTGAAATTTCGGGGGCGGTATGTTTGAGCATTCTCAAATTAGGTCTAAACTTAAATTTATTTTAAATAAAATAATACTTGTTTTGTCATTTAAATAATAGATATTTAAATGTTTTGTGTGTAAATAAATCACTGCACTTTTTTGGTTCAATTCAGAATAATATTTTAAGTGAGTTCATAAAATAAAATTGTATTAAGTTAAGCCAGACAGAGAGAGAGAGAGAGAGAGAGATAGGCAGACAATGCAGAGGAATGTGCTGCGTATCCTGCTTATCAGTTCCAGCCGACATGATATAGACTGACCAGTGGCTTTTCCTGTACACTGCTCCAACTCACTCAGTTACTATGCAGTCTTCATGTGAGTCAAACATTATGAGGGTCTCTGAATCCCTCTAAATATTTTACTATGGGTCTCAGTATCCCATATTAAATCATCAATTATTGACTCTATTGTTTCTACAGAAGTTTTATTTAACCGTGAGGAACATTCACCAGAAGTTTGTGTGCACACAGTGTTATATTTTATTTTCTCAAGAAGTGTTAATCTCCATTACTTGGTATTAACGAACATTCATTAATTTCTTCTCTGCGAGGTCGTGAGTACATCTCTACACATCATTCCTCTCTGTCTATTTCAATTTGGACTTAAATATCTCATAAAGAGAATAGTTCTGATTTTAATATTTTTATTGTAAAGGGTTAATTTAATTTTGTATCATTATAATATTTTCTTAACTCAAATGGATTTATTATTTTTCCAATAGTAACTCACTGCTTAGACAGATCAATAAACTTGCTTTCTACTATATTAACAAATATCTATTGAACCAGCAATTATTCAGTTTGGTAGCAAAGTCAGGAATTTAATTTTTAATTCCCCTTTGTTCAAACACTTGGTATTTGTCGTATAGGTCTTCTTTCTTACGTTTTTTTACTGTTGAGGATAGTCTTTTCTTAGCTAAGTCATAGTTGTCTGGCAGCGGAGAGTGATCTGCCGTCCACGGGAGACAAACTTCAAAACGTCCTTCTTTGGTGATTTTTACTGTTTCAAGAAAGGTTTTCTGTGTTTCAGCTTCTAATTCCTGTCTTGAACATTTCTCGTAAGTATCTAGAATTCCTAAGGTATCTAAAGTCCAAAGGTCACTAATTTTACCTGCAGTCAACATAGAAGTTACCAAACTTGTTGCATATTGCTTGTTATGCTGCTTGTTTGGAATTTTCCCCATCAATGTCCATCCGAGCTTTGTTTCTACTGCAACCAATTTACAGTTCAGAGCCTTGTGACCACCTGTCCATAAGTTTCCTGCTACATCTGCTCCTAGTAGTACATCTATAGGACCATTAGAGTCAATATCACTGAAGGTAATGTTCTGCATAGCTAACTCTTCTATCCAGGGTCCTCGCATGACAGGTGAGATGTTTCCGCAGATCTTCTTCTGGTCTAGAACTTCGAAGTGGCATCTATACTTGTCATCTAATGAAGAAAGATGTAGTACATACACATTATGATTAATTACTCCTGTACTGTTGCCCCCAAAAAGAGAATGTTGAATCTTTTCATTTTTGGTAGATACATAACCTAATTTGGCTGCTAAGCTGGATGAAACATAAGATCTTTGGGAAGCAGAATCAATCAGAGCTCTTGCACAGTAAACGCCTCTGGGTCCCGTTACATTTACACGTAAAGTTTGCATCAACACATTGCAGGTATTTAAGTTTGGAAGTGTTTCGTCTCTATTGGGCTGAACACTGATATTTTCATGTTCCGCTAACTCTCTACTAGGATTTGATTCATTAGGCTGCTTTTTAATTTGATCAATCTCATCACACATGAGGACAAAGTGAGACTTTTTACAAACTATACACTTAGGCTTAGTCCTACATTTGTTAGCAGTATGTCCTGGTTTTAAGCAACAAAAACACGCTTTCTTACTATTTACAGATGCTTTTCTTTCTGACAAAGGCATTGATTGGGCTTTGATACAATCTTGACTTTTGTGAGAAAATGTACAAAATATACAACCTTGGCTATTTGATTTGTCACATTTTTCAGAAGTAAATAGCCCTGTAGCAGTAGCTGTATTAGGCCGACTTGATTTATTTACAAAGGGAGGAGTTGCCTTACTTTGCCTACTGTCATTCTTTTCTTTACTTGAGGTCGATGAGAAACCAAATCCAGATAGCTAACTTAACCTTTTGCTCCCCTTCAATTTCCCCTTTTAGAAAATTAAGAAGATTTTCTAACAAGTCTTTAGACGTCTTTTTCTCGTCCTTATGTCCACTGAATGTTTTAGAACTAGATCTCTCCCACAATTTCAAAACATCTTCTGGCAAACAAGATGAAACTAGAGGTAAGAGGATAGGTGCACACGTGTCTGAGGATACCCCTAGTGTTTCTAGGTTTCTTAGATGACACTGCAGTTTGTCATATAATTCAGATATGGAAAGCTTCGTGGTTGACGAAGCATGGTAAACTACAATTTTCAACATTTCCCTAATGTAATATTCAGTTAGCAAGTCATCCCGACCAAAACGACTTTTGAGACTTTTAATTACTTCGGGAAACATTTCTCCAGTGGCTGGGTAACTTTCAACCACTTCTCTGGCTGCAGAGTTTGGAATTGTTGCCATAACTAAATACTGGATTTTGTCATTAGGATTTATTGATTCATCAGAATCTATTTTAGAAAACTGAGCCCAAAATGGTAACCAATCTTTAAGATCACCCCCAAACTCTTTGAATTTAATCAAGGGAAGCTTGTATCCACTGTTGTTATGCATAGGATAACCTAGGCCTACCTGAATTGATGAAGGCTGTGATTGACCACTTACAGAAACCTTATCTTGCTCTAGGCTTATCTGTATGAGTTTTTCTACAGATTTCTTAATTAGTTGAAAAGCTAATGCATAGTCCTTTTGGCTTTCCATCTCCTTGTCCATGTCATTGTCATTTACTTCAGTTGACAACATGAGTTCAAACACTTCTGAGTCATGTTTTGCTATGGATTCATATTGAGTTGCTAAAACATCCATTAAAGCTTCAATCTTAGTTAAATCCCGATCTTCACTACTAATCATGCCTTCAAGTTCAGTCCTTGTATTAGTGAAGGTTCTTCTGATGACTCCTCT